AAAAAAAAAAAAAAAAAAAAAAAAAAAAATCTAGCTGATTTAACTCTTTGATAGCAATGTTGGCAGACTGAAAAAGAAGAAAAAGAAAACTTTTCTTAAAATAATTTTTTTTTTTTGTTTTTTGAAATGTGTAACTACAGTTCTTTTACATTCTCTGTAAGGGTCAGTGAGATAATGACAGCTTGATTTTTGAATTCATGATCTGTTCTAACCCCTGTCTGGATACGAAACTACATGGTGAGCTCTGCCCTTTCATCCCCACCTTGCAAAGGAAAGATGCCAAACCCAGACCAGCGTAAGCGTGCCAAACTTCTCTTCTGTTTGGATGTGATCAGGCATGCTTAAAAATCCCTCAAGCAAGAACGGCCGCTGGCTGGAAAGATGTCAGTGTTTGTTTTCCTGCAGGACATGGAGTGGATGACTTCAAATCTTTTTATCTTCCTAATTATCCATAATTGTCAGAGGTTTTTTTCCCCCCTTGATCTTTTGCATTTGTTGATAAAGTATGTTTGTATAATAGAATTTTCCTGCACTGCCTTCATTTGTTTAGCGCTTTATGGAGAGATTGCACTTAAATCATGTGGTCATATTTCACTGAGAGCTGAGCTACCATTAAGCTTAAATGGTCATCTTTTCCCCTTATGAATAAATTGTAATGGAAGTGATTTTTTTCTTCTTCTCCTTCCCTACCATAATTCTATTTGTTTATTTGGAATATATGGATGGGTGAAGGGGTGTGTGTATGCATGCACACATTCACATACAAGTGACTGAAGGTGAGCATGAGGGTGTGTTTGAGATTAATACACTCATCTTTTTTTCATAGTGCCTACCACAGCTGTGACAATAACTTCTTCAGCTGAGCTGTTCAAAACCACAGTGTCAACCACAAGCACTACTTCACAGAGAGGCTCCGTGAGCACCACAGTAGCTGGACCTCAGGAAGGAAGCAGAGGGACAAAGCCACCTCCAGCAGTTTCTACAACCAAAATTCCTCCTGTAACAAATATTTTTCCCCTGCCAGAGAGATTCTGCGAGGCATTAGAAACGAAGGGGATAAAGTGGCCTCAGACACAAAGGGGAATGATGGTTGAACGACCCTGTCCCAAGGGGACAAGAGGTATCTCCTGCCATGTATTATACCCTGTAATGTATGCATGTGTAGTTTAATGAGTGCCTTCTAAATGACACTGAAGCAGTTTCCGTAGAGGGAGATATTTGCAATAGCCAATTTCCTTATTTTGTTACATTACAAATACAGTTTCTCTACACAGCGTAAGGGTTTTAAACTATCAAAGTCACTTAAGATCAGGCACAGAATTACCTCTCACATTACCTATGTCAAACCTGAGATTTTTGTCCCAGGCCTCTAGTGAGGCTCCCCTACAGCTGTCTTTCTCATTATAACCATCACTTTGGATGAGTCTCACGAATATCAAGAGTTTTTTTTTCCCCCTAAATGTCTGATGTTTCTATGCTGACTTTATGCTTATTGTTTATAATCTTTTGCATTGCATGCTACTTTTTTGTTGGTTATTGCCAGCTCCTTCTATTAGCATTTATTCAAAATTTAACACACTGTCTAGGATCATTAGTGCCAATTTCCCAGTTCCCTAAAATACGGCTTTGGTTTCACCCTTGTTTCCTGCATGCGTTACAGGAACGGCCTCGTATCTCTGCATGGCTTCCACAGGAACATGGAACCCTAAGGGCCCTGATCTCAGCAACTGCACCTCTCACTGGGTGAATCAGCTGGCTCAGAAGGTGGGTTGGAATGTTTTGATGTGATATGTTGATTGAGGGCTTGAAGTTCTAACATAAATAATGTAGTTTTCTATGTTAAACCAGGCTCTGTGGTCCTTTGTTCTGCATAAAAGTTTTTTGATTTTTTTTTTTTTTTGGTTTTTGTTTTCCTTTTAAAGCATAGTTTTGTCTGTGTACTAGTCATTGAATGTTAAGTTTGTTTGGGGGTATGCTGTGTTCTGTGTTAAGCTGTTTAACAAATGCATACTTGTTTAATTTCATTCACATTTAGTTTGTTCTGGTTCTTTTGATGTTCCTAAGACAAATAGTGTATTGGCCCAATAAATCAAGTATCATTAAGTTTGCAAGTGAACCCACAGAATGCAAACAGATGTTTGTATCACATAGGGTTACAACAGTGTGTGAAAATGACCTTCAAAAGGCCTGGACGGCACTCTCTTGATTTTTGCACTGTAATATTGGACCCTTTGATTTTTCCTCCATCTACCTGTTTTGAAATACATACATACAATAGGTGACCAGAACTATTCGTTGTCTGATGTAAAATCAGCATCATTGGAATAAATTAAAAAATTTAAAATAACAACAAAGTGGTTAGAGGAAAAAGAGAGCCAACTGAAAAACAAAATTTAAAAATGTCCCCTCCTTCCCCTTTGTTTTTTTTTTTTTTGTGTGTGTGTGTGTGTGTGTGTGTGTCTGGTTAAGTATTTCTTTTGTGTGTTAAGGATCTAAAAGCCTTTAATCTTCTTAAGATGAAGAGAAAGTTATTGGTCTCAATTAGTTGCAGATTTTGACATATTTGCAATTTTTCCCCTGACCACAACAGAGGTGCTTAAAGAGAACTGAAAGCCACAGGCAGAACGAGAGTTTTACTGAGATAATACAAATTGTCGTTCCAGATCAGAAGTGGAGAAAATGCTGCAAGTCTAGCCAATGAACTGGCTAAGCACACCAAGGGGTCCGTGTTTGCCGGGGATGTGAGCTCCTCGGTGAGACTGATGGAGCAGCTGGTGGACATCCTCGATGCTCAGCTGCAGGAGCTGAAACCTAGTGAGAAGGATTCCGCCGGGCGGAGTTACAACAAGGTAGGATCTCTGCCACTGAAGGACATGGGTCTGTGTGTGTGGCGGCTCTCTGCCCTTCAAAACTTGGCTGCCAGCTGCCCAGACACACACTTAGAGAACTAACTTCCCTGTTTGCTCATTTCTCAGGAAGAATTACTGAGAAAGGAGCAATGTTCTCCTGCCCCTTAAAGTTCTAAATGACACCATTTATTACAGATTTTACTTAATGGTGACTTGATCCGTCTAAATGTGGTCAATGCTCTCGCTGTAGAATTAGCATTTGTAGCTAGAGTGATTCTGTGATACATGATTAATGAATTGTGTGAAAACATGCAGCTGTCAATGCTTGAAACAGAGGTGTGACACACAGTGGTATTAGGGGCAGCCTTGGGGAGAAGGATGTATCCATTGTCAGGAGAATGCTGATCATACCACCAGGTTTTTCTTTCTAAGATGTCTAAGTGCTACTTACTGTGTTATGTTTATATTACATCCATGTTCAGATGTTCAAGTCCAGAATTAGCCATAGATAAGTGGACTATTATTTTTAACAATGGTGTTTGTATATGTTTTCTCTTATAAAAATAAAAAAAAAATGACCCTTAAGAAAACAGAGCTGAAAACTGTAAGGAGACAGCATTGGCTGGGACAGAAGTTGCCCAGATGCCCAGAGGAGATCTGTAGCTAGTCCACTTGACAGTCAGGAACAACGCCAACTTAATTTTTGAGGATTTCTTCTTTCCTCATTTTTTTCAGCAGATAAAATCTAACCTCTGATTTTCTCTTCTTTTACTTAAAAGCTCCAAAAACGAGAGAAGACATGCAGGGCTTACCTTAAGGTATCTTTCCCATGCTGCCCCGCTCTCCCCCTCCCACGGCTGCCTGCCACGCTTACACCATCTTGCTGCATGACTCAGAATTTTCAGTCTTTGATAATTATATAATGTGCCCCATATCAGCTGTACAAAAGTGCTGGCTTTTCTCAGGATAAGCCAGTAATATTTTACTGATTTTTTTTTTTACTGTTTTCCCATTTATGAAAAAAAAAATACAAGAATTTAATGATCATCCTCTGAATTGGAAGCAAGCACATAGTAGTCCCTTTGTTTTCTCTTGTCATCTCTGGATTCAACAACCTGAGACAGCTATGATATATTCTCGGCAGTTTATCATATCAAAGACTGTATGGGCATAATATATGTGCATGTCAAAGTCACCGCTTTCTGATCTCTGGGGTATACTGTTCAATAAATTAGGATTTGTCTTGGCCTTTCGGGAATTTGCTTCTGGAAGTAGGGTGCTGAGTATGGGTGTCCAGACATGAGATACGAACACTGTTATGGTGATTCCAGTATGTGATAGGTGGGAGATCTTTTCATGATAGGAGCAGTGAGGCACTTTTGTGCTAGGACCAGTATTTCTTCCTAGTGTATTGAAATGATAGGCAGCATGCTGAGGATCTCCACTGGAGGAAGCCAAAGTAGCTCTGTTGTATTTTGGTTTGCTCTGTAGTTTAGAAGTCCCTTCCTGTTGGGGAGAGGGAGTTGGCCATTACCTGGCAAACCTAACCTCGAAGGACAAAGTCACATAGTGAGGGGACAAACCAAAGAACTTCTGTGGTTTTGCAAATGAGAATTTACTTAGAAACTGAAACCTCATCAACTTGGTGGGCAAGGTCAGGGATGGGCACAAAGAACAGCATCTCACTAGTTAGTAAATGACACCTTTGGACCTGACCCCTTTACAATAAAAGGCAGAGAGAAATCCGTTTTTCAGATAGTAATGTTCTAAAGACCCCTAAGAATCTGATTAAGGATGCAACTAATAGAGATCTATGGAATAATTCACACTCAAGTTCAAGTTTACCTTAAGATACTAATGTGTGGAATGCAGTGATCAGTATGTTGTCCAAAACATAACTCAGTGAGCCAAGGGTAGACTGGCAAGAAAAGACTGCTTCAGGAATATGACTAGGCTGATGGTTATCTTGATCCCACCTAAAAAATGCAAATGGTAATAAATAAGGAGAATTTCAAATTAATGTAAGTGTGTCATCAGGAGGAATGTGTACACATGATACATCTCAATATGACCTTAATTTCTGACCAGTGTCACTTCAGTGTGTTTCAAATGAGTTTCTCTGTTCAGACAAGACTAATAAGCCTCCTTAGATTACAAATCAGAAACTGACTTACTCTATGCAAATGAAGCAAGTTTCTACTTGGCTACAGAGGATTCATTTGTAACTTAGATTAGAGGCTCCAGTCTGTATTTCTTGGTGACTAATGAATCTGGCCTCAGCAGACCAATTTCTGTTCCACTCTAGTTATTGGCTGAAGAAGTATCCGTGTGAGCCTTCTGGACCATTCCATCTCCCAGTAGAAAGGGAAAAAAGCCTTTAACAACACTTGGAAGTACCTTCCACCTGCCAGGGAGGTCATGGTGGCTCACAAGGCAGATGGAACGAGGGTATAAGATGGATTAAGCTAATTAATCTCACTCTGACAATAACCTTGGACAACTTTTCCCCTTGCTCATTTCAGTACAGATCCTCAAACTAGCAGTTCATTGTTGTTTTTCATATATAGTGTGTCCTTTTCCTCAGCAGTTACCAGTAGATCAGAACAATGTATACATGGGCCTAATGGCACATCATGTGTAGGCATGTGGAACAGTAAACACACGGAGTGACGTCAGCTGTCCAGCTATCCGTGGCACAGCACACCCCAGCCTAAGTACAGCAAATGTGAGCACTAGAGCTTGCCTCCAGTGGACCAGCCTACTGGGTTATATTGTTATTTAATGCTCTTTTGCACGGGGATAAATTAAGCCCACACTTAGGAATATTTGCAGCTCAGTTGTAACACGTATGTATTTCCATTCTCCTTAAATCATCAGTGTAGCCTTCCAGTATTTTGCTTGTTTTCCTCATTCCTTTAAAAGCAGACCCAGTCCTTAGAAGTTAATGTGTGTGTGTGTGTGTGTGTGTGTGTGTGTGTGTGTGTGTGTACACGTACGTACGTATGTACGTACGTACATACATACATCTATCTTTTGGCTGTATAGGTAATGGGAAGGGTGAAAATGTAGGCAGGTAACATAAACTTTAAAGCTACCCTTATACCCAAGTAATAATAAATAGTGTCTGTCGAGCAGTCTAACTTATATGAGTTCGCGTTCAAAAAATACTATGACTGAAATTTCTGTTAGATACTCACCTACTCCAGTAACATTAGTGTTTTTTAGCCTTACGTTTAAATTCTGAAGTTATAAATAGGGTGACTATAGTAGCTCTGAATGACCATACATGTAAGTCAAGTAAATTAGACTCAGAGCTGCTGCTGGGCGTTCCATGTCCCCTTCAACAATTGCAGTGTGATTAGAGAAATGAAAACAAACCACCTTTCTTACAGACTCTCTAAAGTCAAGCAGCTGTTCACTAATATCCACGTAGTGATGTTTTGAAGTAGTTGTCCATACTTAGAGTTGCCTGAGTCATGAAACAAAAGTAAATCATCATGTCAGGTGAACATCACAGTTGTCGCTAGTCAGCAGTTAACGATCCCCTGTACTCTGGAAGCAGTCAGAACTAACAGTCATTTTCTAATGGATGCAGGCAATTGTTGACACAGTGGACAACCTCCTGAGACCCGAGGCTTTGGATTCCTGGAAACACATGAATTCTTCTGAGCAGGCACACACAGCCACGATGTTACTGGATACATTGGAAGAAGGGGCATTTGTCCTAGCAGACAATCTCTTGGAACCAACCAGGGTCTCGATGCCCACAGAGAACATTGGTGAGTGTGTCTGTGCTCACACTTGATTTGGAAGACAGGTGTGAAGGAGAGTAAGGTTTACATTCTGAATTTATCGTCTCCCAGCATTAGATTTCTCTTTTGCTGAGTTACTTATTTTCAGGAAAAGAAATTATTGATCATATTTAATAAAAATTAATGCTTAAGCTGAAATCTGCCTATATCTTATAAAAGTTGTTTTTATGAGTATCTGTGGGTTTTTCAATTGAAAAATCATTAAAAGGAAAAAATAAGAGCACTTAAATGCTATAATATAGATTGCTTGAGTAATGAAAGTACTTCTTATGAGAAGGTGGCAAATGCTTTTCCATTTTTAAAACAATTCCTAATGAATTTTAATCACTTTATGTGTTCTTCCAGTCAACTATTTTAGCTCGTAAGGCTTGAGTGGACTGTGAACGTTAAACACAACCTCCTGTAGGGAAATGATATGTTTAATAGCTGGTGTTAGTGCTTCGTACGTGTAATATCAGCATTTCGTAGGTTGAGGCAGGAAGATTGCTATGAGTCCAAGACCACTCTAGGCTATAGATTTAGAGGGAGGTTCACAAAACAAAACAGTGAAGGACGGAGCTCAGTTGGTGAGCTGTTCACCTAGCACACAGGAAGCCAGGGCTTTGAATCTCTGGCACCATGTAAACCAGGAATAATGGTGCGTTCTGTAATCCCAGGGAGCTGGAGCCACGAGGTCCAGGTTGAAGGTCAGCTGGCCTGTGGGAGACTCTCTCTCCCTCCTCCCGCTAAAAGATACTGTCAGTGAAGAACATATTTTTTAGCATAAAATAGCCTTATTTCTATGTTGTCAAATGGATATCAGTAGTTTTGGAAGGTAAGCTAGGAGTTAAAATACTGCCAATGAGGGTCAGAAATCTATTGTTGACAATATTTGGTGGGAGAGTAAAAAATTGATATTTAAATTTCTCCCTCTTAGAATTGACACTTAATTGGTGAGGTTGAAGGCTTCATCTGAAAAACCTCAGTTGAAGTTTACTAATAGCTTACTAAAATGAAAGGTTCCTGATTATGAGTAAAAAAGAAAAAAAAAAACATGAAAAGAACCAGACCTCTCACTCCTCCTCCAAAAGCCATGCTGACTCCTTTAGGGCAACATGGATGACGTTCTGTGGAGGTGATGCCATGTCTTACTGCCAGATCATGACGGTCATATTAACGACTGAGGAACGGGGGAAAAAGGATGACATGAGTCAAACATGGCACCTGAATTGAAAAACTTAAGCTTATTCCATGTATGTAAAAATTTCAAATGAAGTGAAATAATTTGTTCTGAGGTATAGAAATATAAATCACTCGATAATATCAGTGTATAAATGAAGCCAAAATGATGCACCCACCATAATCTTAGGTATCTGGTTCTTTAAAAGAAAATGTGTTCACACAGTTTAGTCACAGAAAGAAATGAATAAAACCCCAATGCCTCTATGATCTCATGGTAGTTCCTGCTGATTCATACACATTGAACACAACTCACTTGTGTCCAGTGGCATACCCCTAAGCACAGAAGTGGTGTGGACCCCATCCTCTTACTGAATGCATCCGAGAAAGACTTATGGCATGATATTTTGTAACTTTAATTTGTTTCCCAAATTTTCTAATGTTAATCAAAACAAACAAACAGACAAAAAACAACTAAAATTTTTTCCCTCCACTTCAATTGTGCATGAAAATTTGAAGGGCCATGTTAAATCCTATGATCTTTTAAACCTTGAGTGACCATAGAACACGTTTCTGTTTCTCAGATCGTTTTGGAATCTCCTGGCTCCACCTTCCTGGGATTACAGAACACCCCACTACCCCTGATATACATGGAGTTAGGGATGCAAACCCATTTCTATATCCCAGATATTTTCTGTCCCAGTTCAAGACAAACTGAAAATTAAATGTCTGTAAATCATCCTTTTCTTAATATATCTTTCTGTTTTCGGAAGGATTGTTCTATTGAAATGTTAAGCTTAAAGATGTTGTGAATATTCATTTAGGATACAGTGTATATACATTTTACTGATATTACTAACCCATGCTTGGAATTTATTGCATCTTTATACTTATTACCCCAATGTTATCAGCATAGAAGTCACCTTAAGCATTTTAAAATAGTTATTTATTTTTATTTCTAATTCATAATCTTTTTTTTGCAAAAAAGAAATATGTGCTGTTTTAAGCACGAAGGAAACATTCTGTTTTTCCTAGAACTTGTCTTTAAACATACTCTGAAAATAGCCTACTATTTCCTTATTCTTTTGAAGTGCTTATCTAAACTTAAAGGATGGCTCTATCTTCAATTATTAAAACAATTTGGTTTTCTTCTTAGCAGTTAGTTTTACCTTCATAATGTGATTTTACTCATATGATATATGATCCCATAAAAATGGTGTAATTGTATGAGGACAGCATCTGCAGTAAACTTTGAGGTCTAATTTGTATTCAGGGGTGTGTGTTTTGAATGTGAGTCTCATGAATTTTGAACAAATGTTCTCCATGTAATCATCAGCGTAGACCACATTTTTATCTTCAAAGGGCAGTCTCCTCCCACCTCCAGCCCAGGAAGCCACTGCTTCCTGTCACTGTACTTGGCTCCTGACTTTGACTTGCCTTCTTTTTTTAATCTTGCTTCTTTTATGTTGAGTTAGTTTTGAGATCCCTCTGTCCAGACTGATATCTGTAGTCCAGTCATGTTGTTCAGTATGACTCCGTTTTAAGGATCTACTCCCAATTCTGTGTATCTAGTCACATTTCTCACTCTTTGAGTTGGTACCACATGGTAGCTCTCATTTTCACTTGGTCTCTAGCAGCAGTGAGTAGTTCTCCATCTTTCCAATACTCAGTCTCTTTATTTTGCGGTTAGTTTTGCATTTCTATGATTACTAAGTAACATATGTTTACTTAATATGATGGAGACATGATCTCCTTGTCTAGTTCTTAAACTCTGTCCTTCCGCCTCAACCTCCTGAGTGCTGGGATTAGAGATATGTACCACCATGCCCAGTAAGTAACATTTAATTGATGGATTATTTGCATGCATTTGTGGCCCATTCATGCATCTTTTTTTAAAGTATCTGTTAATTTATTTTTCTCTAGTTCAGTTGCTTTTTGATTGATAAGCAATAGGACTCTTTATGTGTGCCTAGTGTATGTCTTAGGCCAGAAATCTATACACTGAATGTTTCCCCCAGTAAGTGACTTTCCATTTTTGTGCTGTTTGGGAATAGCAAAAATTTCTCATTTTGGTTGTGAAAGTTTCAGGTACCTAGTCTCAGCATCATCTGCCTAATCTTATCTTGCTTGCACTTCTCAGCATCGAGTTATTTTACAGCAAATAAGAGTGTCCTATCATTATTAATGTGTAATCGTCAGTATCCTTTTTAAAATTAAGAAAATATATTCAGAAGATAATATTCATACACTTTTATTCTTATGAATGCTTTATCTGAAAGTAGATATAAAATCAGTCTTTATATTCCATATGATGGTTTAATTTCCTTTCATTAAAAGAGTGCATTAAAAAAAACTTATTGTTTTAATAGAGAAATAAGGAGGATGATAGATCCTGTAGACTTTTCTACATTTTATATTTGGCTGATTTCATCTCCAGGTCATCATTCAACTCTGTTTGATACACTAATTAGATCTAGTAGCTTGAGCAGGCCAAGTTTGACCCCCCAACTCCACCTCCCCACCCTCCATTCCCCACGAGGAACTTTCTGTTGAGTAACACTGTGGTACATGTACTGTTCATTGTCCTTCCTTCTGACATTAAGGCTAATTGGATAACTTAGGTAAGATAAGCCCAACCCATCTATTATAAAATCTCCTTTTATTTATTTTCAGAATAGCCTTAGTAGACAATATAACCGCTCCTCACCACCACCCCCACCATGCCCCCCACCGCTCATACTGTCACTTTAGACTTAGTTGTATTATGGCTGTAAAAAAAAAAAAAAAAAGGTCAAAATATGATTTACAACAGAGGTTATTCTTCTATCCTGCTGTGTGGACAGGAACCTGGGCTTGGATCGGTTACTATCTATATTATATTGTCTTCTCCCCTGAGCCTAGACTGACCTAGGACTTGGCAGGTCCCTTGGCCCCCATCAACATCTTCCCCAGAGGCTCTCCTGCATCTCACTGCAGCCAGTGAGGGGGAAATATAAAGCTGTGATGAGTGAGACTCTGGATGACTCTCCAGTGAATTAAGTATGTGCGTTTTGAGCTATCTATTGACTAAGGTATGTGCCATAGTGACCAGCATAAGCATCCAGCAGTGCTGCATGGTGATATTATAATATATTCACTTTAGCTAAATCACACAGACAGTACAGATGTTCCCTCAGTAGTAAAGTTGATGACAGACCTTCTCCATGATAGACAAGATCAAGTAGGGAATAACTATCACCTTCATTTATTTTTAGCTGTTATGTAAATTTTTACCTTTATTCTGGGGTCTTTATGGAGATGGTTTGTCTAAGCTGACCTCAAACTCTAAGACTCAACCACCGCTTAAAATTAATTTTTACAATTTTAGTAATCAGGTTGCACATGTGTACTATATTTATATCAATGGCACTAATGATTTCATGCCATAAATGCATGCCATTAGATGATTTTTTTCCCTCCCAGTTAGGATTCTCGTGAGTATATCTACTGTCAGGTGCATCTCTGTTCATTCATCTGATCTGAAAATATACCACAGTTTACCCTGAAAGGCATTTCAGTGAATTCCCATATTTTGACAAGGAAAGGTAGACAAAAAATTTTTGTGGGTCTTCTTGTTCAATGTGTTTCTAGGCATGTGTGTATGTATCTTACAAGAAAGTTTTTAAAGGACATACTATACTAATCCATTTTACTAAATATTTTCCAGTTTTTCCTCTGCCTAATTTTTCCAATTTCTGTCCTCACTGGTAAAAACACTGCACCACCACAAACTAACACTTCATTTTGACATAACTTTTGTTAATCAGTTTGGATTGATCGCATTCCTGCTTTTATTTGTAGTTTCCTTAGGTGTTGAAGCATTTCTTTTGTTTTCTTTTCATTCACCTGTTTTATTTTTATCTGTGAATTTGTTGTTCCCAACATTTCCCTTTTTATCTATTTCTTTGCATTCTGTGTGTGTTCTCACCACTAATTTATTGAGGATTATGTAGTTTAAAAACTGCTTTCCTTTCCTTTTTAACTATTTTGAAGCTGTTATTTTACATGATAATGATGTACAATTAATTGATTAGTCTTTAATTTTAGGGTTGGAGTTTTTGATACCTAAGACATTTTACTCTTGGCTTCCTGCTTTATAAAAACCATCTCTACTGTGATTTTATAATGATCCCACATTTTATAACTTTGTAAATTTGTAAGGTATTCATCTTTGTGGTTTTACATTGGGCTGTAGTCTTTCTAAAGTTTATGTTTCATTGTGTTTTGTGGTTGAAGCAACTTATGCGGCTTTTTCCATGTGAGTGAACTGGTTCTCTCTGCACTTCTGTCAACACATGATGTGCTCTCTTCCCCATCTCTTGTGATCCAACAAGGTTCTACAAGTGTCAGCATGGCAGCAGGATCTAGTATGACCTGCTTTTGTGCAGGACTGTCTTGTTTTTAGTGATGCTAGGAGCTTTTGAGCCTTTCAAAATTTCTCCTTGAGGAATTTCCTTAGCTGCCTTTGTGTACATCTCATGCATATGGATTTTAAAATCAGTTTTTCAAGTCCTATACAGTCATAAAGTCTTGCTTGAATTTTTATTAGAATTATATTTCACTCATAGATCGGTATTATAACAAGTACCAGAGTTCTTCAAATTAAAGAGAATTACACAATGGCCTATTTCTTAATTACACTTACTGTGAGTAATGAGTTGTTATACCCTCACAGTTTACATTTCCTTTGATTTTTTTTTATTGTTACATAGCATTCTAAGATAATAATAAGTTAAAACACACCAGTAAGTGTCCTTCTTCTTTAAAGGGTGTTTTCATCATCCTGGACGTTTGCATGGACACAAACCACCGTTCTGAGAGGAAAACCTCCAGCTCAGGGAGCTGTTCCTTTATTCCTACTGTGTTGTAAAGTTCTGTTTTTTATTTTTCATCAAGCAAGTTGAAATGTACTGAACTTTTTCTGCTAATAATATTTAATTTTTAAAGTTTGATTAATTATAATACGGTTCTCTAATTAACTACCTAGTTACACTTGTTGATTTCTTTAGGCTATTATATTTAAAATGTGGCATATAGCATATTTTACTAAGGATAGTTTTTGTAACACTTTAATCAGTGAGAAGCTTGTGAAGTGGTTAGCTCATATCGATATCCTGTTTCCTGAAAGAGAAGATATAAATTTATTTAAAATTAAGTGTATATTAAACTACGAATTGGTACATTGAGGTCAGAAACTATTGAGGTTTTGAAAGTTTCTTTCCGTCAGGTTTAATATTTCTGGAATGTTTCTATTCTCTGTTACAATGTTTGCTGGCTGATGCACATTTACTTTTATAAAGTTGATTATTTCATATCCATTGCTTCATTTCTTTAAAAATCACTAGGCATGTGTAGTAATAATCCCATTACTTTAGAAAGTTCATATCAGTTTTTCTTTTCTTTGAACATAATTTTTAAGCTAAAAAGTAAATATAACATAAGTGAAGTTAGCTAATTCTTACATGCGTGCCTGGAACATCTGAATTTGCATGAAATTCAGATTTTTTTTTGTTGTTTTATTTGCTTTTAATAGGAATAATTAGTAATTATAGACCCATTCAGTGTGAGGAGGAGATAATTATATATCAGAGGGGGGGAGGGTGTGAGTGTTTTGCTTTATTTTGTTTTGTTGGCAGGGTCTCATAGAGCTAGGCTGGGTTGGGATGTTCTATGTAGCTGATGATGACTTTGAACTCATGATTCTCATGTGTCTGCCGCCACTGGCCACTCTGGGCCTTTGTGCTGGGTGTTGTCTTTGGAGAAACGCTTGAGTCAGTCATGTTTCCACACTGGATACCTTGCTCCTCACAAAGAATCAATATAAGCAGGGAGACCATCTACTTACCTGCTGCTTGATCTTTTCCAGTGTGAGTCAGTAAGAGCAATGGCCTGTGTCTGCACTGATGGGGGTCTAAGAGATGCACAGGCACCACTGTAAACTTGCAGTTGAGTGCTTTGATTTGAGGCTGAATTACTTTTAAGAATCCCTGAATGCCCGTATTTTCATATTTACAAAAAAACAAAATGTAAAATAGTATTTGAGTAATGAGAGTGCAGGGGTATGAGTATTTTTGTATCAAAGAAGGGAGTGAGATTACATCTGTCTGCCGACAGTTTCTCATTAATATTCTCTACCATTCTCACTGCTTGTAGAAATTAGAAAAATGTGTAACTACAAACTTTGCATTACATGTCCTATTAAAATCTCTTCTACCTAGAAAGAGATGTGCCTGTGCCATGAAGGCATTCAGATATGTACTCGCTTTCCACTAAGGGATGGTCACCGAAAAGTCACATAATACAAAAGCTCCAAATGAATAAAGTTTTGCAAATAGAAAAAAGAAAGCTGTAATTCCTTTGGGATTCTCTTTTGTCTATTGTAGTTTAAAGACTAACCCCCCCCTCCCTTTTTTCTTTGTTTCGTCCAGCTCTGGAAGTTGCTGTACTCAGCACGGAAGGGCAGGTCCAAGACTTTAAATTCCCTCTGGGCATCAAGGGGGCCGGCAGCTCCATCCAGCTCTCCGCAAACACCGTCAAGCAGAACAGCAGGAACGGTGAGAGGGACAGACAGCCCTGCTTCTCCCTTGTCTTCTCTTGCCTTCCCACCTTACTTTTCCCTCTTTAAACCAAAACTGTGGAGTTGAACCTGTTCTATCTTGAAAATCTCTCCTTAGTACAGCGGAAATGGCTTAGCATTGGAAATAATGCATTACTTTCCCAGTGGACTTGATTTAGATCCACCTAAAGAGTCCCTTGAATTTTCTCACTGTGTTCTTGTTTTGCCATTTGCTTTCTCATCCAAAGTGATTTGTTGTGAATCCTATGACCATTTCTTCCTCCCTAGGGCTGGCAAAGCTGGTATTCATCATTTACCGTAGTCTGGGGCAGTTCTTGAGTACTGAGAATGCGACCATCAAGCTGGGCGCAGACTTCACGGGTCGCAACAGCACCATCGCAGTGAACTCGCACGTCATTTCTGTCTCCATCAACAAGGAGTCCAGCCGGGTGTACTTGACAGACCCGGTGCTCTTCACGCTGCCACACATTGATGTAAGCTAACGTATGCTAATGAAGTCACGGGAGGGTTAACCCTCCCAGAAAGGAAAGCCAGGCTGGCACACCGAGGATGCAGGAAGCAGAGGGTGGGTGGGTGGGCGGGTGGGAAGGAGAAGACCTTTTCATTTGAATTTTATATGTTGGACTGGGTCAGAGACACAAGTTTATTTAAGTCTGTGAACATAAAATTAAATGAGCCTGGTTCAGTGATTATTAGAACTTAAGTGTATTCTTAATGAAAGCTAATTCAGTAATCAACAAGAAAATGTAAATGACTCTAATTTGTTTTTGGATGAAAATTAACTCTTACCTTAGCAGCAGGGTATCTGAATATTAACTCTTAAGACTCTAATTTTGTAGTATGGCTAGTCATTATTTTTTAATTAGTTATGTTGGGCTCATGTACACACATGCATCTGCACACGTGCACACAAGCATGTAAGCACATACACACAAATACATGCACACATACATACTAAAATTAATCGTATTTAGCTCAGCTTTTATCAAATATTGCATTTAAAAATTCAGAACTGAGGAGGTTGCCTTGTCTGTGGTACCTCCCAGCACAGGCTCCTGCTTTGTTGGAAGATGGGCTGTCACAGTAGAGTGAATGAATGCCTGGGGATAACCAAGTGTCCAGCACAGACAAGAATAGGTTGTGTGGTTGTAGAGCCTGTCTAATATCTACTGTATTTGATTTGCTCTTAAGAGCCTTATGGTGTCAACTGTGTTTCAAGTGTATCTAAGCTGTCACTAACAAGTGATCATAAAAAGGACACCAAATTAAACATAGTTGTTTTTTAAGACACTTGGTCCCTAAAGGATTTTCTTAGAACAAATTCACAACCTTAATCTTATCAGAAAAGGGGGAAAGAGTCTAATGTACTCATCAGTAGGTAAAATCATAAGATGGAAATTGTAATTGTGTGAAATGGATCTCTGGTAATTTAGAGTACATGTTAGAGTGTTTCGGACTATAAAGCCCCCTTTAAGCTAGATATGTGCCTTGTATAACATAGTCTACAATTTTGCTGATGAAAAACTTTATTGTCTGAAACATGCAAAGTTTAATCTAAATTACCTTTTACACATATTAAACAATTGCTATTGCCATCTTTGAGTGTAAAATCCTAATTTTATCTTGTCATTTTATTTCCCAGCCTGACAATTATTTCAATGCAAACTGCTCCTTCTGGAACTACTCAGAGAGAACCATGATGGGATATTGGTCTACCCAGGGCTGCAAGCTGGTTGACACTAATAAAACTCGCACAACATGTGCATGCAGCCACCTAACCAATTTTGCTATTCTCATGGCCCACAGGGAAATTTCAGTAAGTATTTTCACTTCTAATTAGTCTCAGGGAAAGACCTCAGAGATTCAAAACAGCTTGTGTAACAGTCCATCTTTGGGTGCTTATCGTAACTAAAAAGCAAACAAAGTAATGCAGGTCCCTAATTGTTCCTACCCTGTCCGTATATGCTCAGAAGTCTTGGTACTTTCTCACATTACAAACTTGTGCTAAGTTCCTGCCCACCTTTGTGGAAAGATGTTTTTCAGAGGCAATCAAGGGTTTTAAGAAGGAAAGCATTGGGAGCTTAAGAGCACTCAGGCTCCCAGATGTAGGATGCCAGTCCAACACTGAATTGTGGAATCCCTTCTCACAATGCTGCCTTAACAGTTGGCACATTATATACAACTACAGACTTTGAAAAAAAATCAGGAAACCTTCTGGAATGTGACTACATAGTTTTTCCTCGTGTTAAAGAGGGTGGTAGTAGATAATAAAAAATATTCAGTACATAGCATGGGGCCAGGGATGTGGCTCAATGGTAGTGTTTGGCTAGCCTGAGAAAGACTCTGGTTTTCACCCCAGACTCTGCTCATTCTACAAAAAGAACAGTACAAAACTTCTTCGTGTATCATGCTTGTCTGTGTAAGCATGTAGAAACCAAAAGAGCAAAGGAAAACTTAAAAGTTGGATTATGCATTAGCTGCACAATCATTAAAATGCTAATTATTTTCATCATAATTAGTCTTCATGTCATGGAAATATTTTGTCTACATTTTTAAGATAATTGTTTTAATAGTTGTTTTAAAAAATTTGGCCTCTTGCATCATTTTCTATATAAAATCTCCCTCTTTGTTAAATCCTTTTAAAGTAGTAAATCCAGTAATACAATCTTTAACTCCATTACACAGTCAGCATTTTTATCTGTGATCCCTCGTTTGAACACCTGAATATTCTTCATCAAAGACTTGGGTAGAAGCTGCATTCCTCTTGGTAATGTGGAATGCTGACGTTCTTCACACTTTCTCTTTTCCAGTATAACGGAGTTCATGAGCTGCTGCTGAAAGTCATCACCTGGGTGGGCATCGTCGTCTCCCTCGTCTGCCTGGCTATCTGCATCTTCACCTTCTGTTTCTTCCGAGGTTTACAGAGTGACCGCAATACCATCCATAAGAACCTTTGTATCAACCTTTTCATTGCTGAATTTATTTTTCTCATAGGCATTGATAAGACAGGCTACTCGGTAAGTACCTGTTGAGTTGGCTGACCTTAGGTCTACTAGCTATGAGTGCAGATGTGATGCTGACATGGGGATTTGGCCTTGTTGTTTGATGCAATTGATGGTCACAGTGAAGGATAACTTGTGATAAATTATAAGACAGTTCACTCAGTAATGTTATTATGAATGTATTCAAAATAAAGTACAAGCACATTTTTTTCTGGCTTGTTATACAGTAGAAGACTGCAGAGGACCCTGTAATAAAAAGATGGCACTTTCCAAATTCCTACTTTGCTTATGTAGGCATTCTGACCAACAGTCTTTTCTTCACGCGTAAAGCATTTATTCATCATCACAAGGCCTCAGTGTCACACACAGAGCATAATTCATCAATGCATCACCCTGCATTCATCTGACCCAGAAACAAAAAGGAATTAATCCTACATAATTAGAGTGAAGATATTTGTCATTAAAACAAGCTTTTAAAGTTCTGTTATAGCTAAAGATAATGTGTCTGCATTCAACTGTTCTGCAGACTTGTGAAGCAGACACCCACGGGTGGGGGCATTAGAGTAACTGTAGGGAGTTTGAGAAGTGAATTTTAGTGATACTTAATTTCACTATAATAGTAATTGCTTAGTGAGGAAGTTTGTCACACTTGGTGGTGGGTTTTTCAAACATTGTGCTCTTGATATTTTAACAGGCCTTTAGCTTGTGTCCATTTATGGGAAAATGTGTGTGCTTGCACACATGTGGTGTGTGTGTGTGTGTGTGTGTGTGTGTGTGTGTGTGTGTGTGTGAAATACTGATGATGAGGTATTTAAACACCACTAGTGATTCTGCCAGTGACTGTTTATCATTTGAGAGTGGATGCTTTGTACTCACAGATATCCTGTTTTTCTTCTTTCCCTTCACAGATTGCATGCCCTGTATTCGCAGGGCTTTTGCACTTTTTCTTTCTAGCAGCTTTTTCTTGGATGTTCCTAGAAGGTGTTCAGCTCTACTTAATGTTAGTTGAAGTTTTCGAGAGCGAATATTCAAGGAAGAAATATTATTATGTTGCCGGATACTTGTTCCCTGCCACAGTGGTTGGTGTTTCGGCTGCTATTGACTATAAGAGCTATGGGACAGAAAAGGCGTAAGTAATTGCAAGCGACCTGAGTGTTTTTCAAGTGAATAATTTTTTAAAGCCTGTTAGCTGTCAGTGAGGGTCCCTGACAGACTAAAATAGCATCTGAAAGCTTTATTGGGGAGAGAATGGGCATGCCGTGCACAAATTACAATCAAGTCTTCTGTAATTCTCTGGGTTCAAAGGATTTGTTCTCTGGTGAGGCAGATTCTAAATTATGGACTTTCTTTTTTAACACAAAAGATTGACCTGAAACAAATTGAAAAAGTAAATAACTTTTTGGCCTCAGAAAGATATTAAGTAACGAATTCTCCTGAACTTAATGTGTCTGACTTAAGCCAGTGCTTCCACGCCTCCCTGTGCAGTTGATTCTCCTGCATTATTATGATATGGGATACATTCTATCCCTTATGTTTTACTTTGATAATATTTCCTGGGAACTTGTGAGGATTAAAATGAGTCACCCTTTCTTGTTCTTAAAAGATACAGATATTAACAGAGACAGAGTGAAGCTATAGCACTTCTCTAATGATTTCATTGGCTAAAGGCATGAGTTTGACTTCCAGCTCTTTACTTTTTCCTCTGATAAAATTAGTTAAGATTTGTTTATAGTCAAGAAACCTATGACTTTATTGATGATGAGATAAACAAAAGAAATTCAGTGAGGATTCCTTATTGTATGAAATATGAACCACTAGCTAAAGTTTATCTTAATGAGTTTGCGCATCATATACTTTAATGCTGTGGAAGTTGTATGCTTTTCTTTTTCTCCCAGTATTTGTCCATTCCTAATAATGCCTTCTGAATATTTTCTTTAAATTCTGTGAAGCAATTTAATTCTGATCAATCTGAAAGACAAATTTTGAAGATTACATACAAAACTTTAGAATGATGATGCAATGTGGAATATTGTTTGGGATCATTTCTAAGGAAGTTGAAGGTCCTAGGGCATCAGGGTTAGGGTGAGAAATCCAGTTTTCCCTATAAAAACTTCTATCCAATACTGTGCCTAAAATGAAACCTGCTGCAGGTCGAAGTAAACCAACTGCTAAACTTTGTTGGGTCAGAGCCAATTCAGAATTATTACAATTCTTCTTGCCCATGATTAATGAATTTTCAAAGGCACATGGAGGGATAGTTTCTTGGCTGAATTTTTGTGGTTTGTTTCTCTGCTTTATGTAAAGATCCAGGAAAGCTACTTAATACATTTGCTCTCCTTCCCAAATAGTTGCTGGCTTCACGTTGATAACTATTTCATATGGAGCTTCATTGGGCCTGTCACCTTCATTATTCTGGTAAGCAGACTTAACTCTCACAGCCTTTTGAACTGCTACTGTAACAGTGGCACCCAAACAAAGGTATGCCCCTCCATTGCTAATTATGCAGTTGAAGATGTGTAAACACGTCTGTTAACAGGACCATTCTGTGTTGCGTATTTAGACTGTTATCATTATTGAAAGTTGTACACTGGCTAATTAACTATGCCTGAAAAACCACCTCTCTGAAACGTACCCTGTGCTATTTCTATATCAGTGTGCCGGAACAGCATAATAATAACAAATAAACAAATGACATGGAAAAAAAAAACCACGCATCCACCATGTTAAAAATTGTTTGACTGTTTTAGAAAGGCAAATGAACATTATTTTTTGTTTTAGTCTAATAGTAATTTAGTATTTTTAAGCGAATGTCCATACCTTAAATTCTTTTAGATCAAAAATCTTTATAAAGCTTAGATTAACAAAAAGGTTAGTAAATGAATTTTAAATTCATTAGAAATAAGGATTCCTTTTGAAGACCTAATATACTTTTTAAAAATCAGTAACTATTCTTAAGTGAAATTTAAATAAGTCAACTGTAGTAACATTAAGGTATTTTTAAAACCTCTTATATTATCTGTAATCATATTGGAAATGCAATATTAGGATTTTATAGTTTAAAACTTTGACCTAGTTACAGTACAATGCAGAAACGAGTATTAATAGCCTTTAGAAGCTTGAAAAAAAACCCACAAGTTTAAATATCATCTATCCAGAATTAATGTCTTTAAACACAGTAGCTGTTGCTATTTTAAATATTTTGTTGCTATTAATTCTTTTTCCAATTTTTTTCCTAAAGAAACTTTACAGGGTGTTTTAATGTTAACTAGTGTTTCATAAAATTCAGAAAGAAAAGCTCATGTTCAATCAGTAAAGCCCTTGCTATGTAAGCATGAAGACTTGTAACCATGAGAAAAGGAATCCAAGTGTGGCCAGGAGAATCTCTAACCCCAGAGCTGGGGAGACAGACAGTAAGATCCCTGGTACACCGCGCAAGGCAGACCAGTCGAATTGTCCTTCACCTCAGTATGCAGCCTTTCTTCATACATAAGGTAGCATGATTGAGAAGGACACCTAACATCAATCTCACACAAATAATTAATTTAAAAACATTGTTGCTGAACAAACTGAAAACACCAAAACATAGTGTGTACATTTTAATTCTTGCTATAGTTATTTCACATAGCTACTTTAACAAAGCAAAATGAACACTTAAGATGAATGCCTGTATAAACCACTGGAATATTGTCAGTGTTCCTGAGATGGTGATTTCTCATCAGATTATTCTCTCTAGGCAATGACCACAGTTCTGCCCCTGAGTGTATGAGACCACATCCTCAGTTTATTCTAGAATGCAGTGACTAATGGCGGCCATGTAGAGTTACTATCCTTAAAGACATTGGCTTCTTTAGAACCTCCTAAAGCAAAAACATTTGTACTTTGAATTAAATGTAAAGGTTGTGTTAGGGTGTTTGGGAATAAAAATGTCACATGCTTACTTCTGTTGACTGAGAATTTTATCTTTAAAGGTTAGCTAACTAATACATTAAAAAAACATTTTTGCTTGAAAAACAAGTTAATGTGTACTCAGAAAGAAATGGGTAAAGGATATTTTGGCCCTTCACCTGTTTATAATGCGAGCCCACTATTTATCAGTCTCATTTATACTCTGCCTTCAGGCTAAACTATGGAAGGCTCTAGGTCACATCCCAACCTAAAAACAAAAGAAACTAGTAGGTAATAGTTGCATGCAGATCTCCTTGAGATTCTAGGATTGCTTTGCCCTCTAATCATTACAGCACAGAGAAAATGCAAAACAATACCTTGAAATACAATGTCTAACCTAAATTGAGAAATACGATTGTATAGCATATATATGTTAAAAACACACTCACCTAAGTAAATACTGTGGTGATACAAGACATTTAAAATGTAATTCTAACATGAATCTCAATAACACAGATTATTTTATATACTGTCCCTGTAAGGAATATTCTTATAACAAAACATTACTTGCTATTCCAAGAAAATGTATTTTGAATTATGACTGAGTTGAAGTCATTTTAACTTAATAGTTTTAAATAGGTATACCTTTGTAATATTCTATGAAGAAAAGTAAGAGGCTGTGGGAGATATAACTTCCTACTTAATGCCTTTCTATAGAATGTCTTGCCTACAGGCACTGGACTTATTATATCTATGAGAAAAGTGCCAGTTAGTAATGAGCAGGGGAAACCATTAGTATGCCTGAAATGGTTTAATGAAGGCTTGGATCATGACACGTCAGGAGCTGTTCTTATCATTTGGACAGCTCCATCTGCATCATTAATAATTAATTCAGTTCAGTAAGAGTTCAGCTCACACACTCACTTAGAAGTCTTCTTCAGAGAACACCTCTCTGGCTGCTCGTCCAGGGGAAATCGGTTTCTGCTTGGCTAACAGCAAAGATCTGGAGACACAAGTGCGGTTTTAGACTTGCATTTGCCAGGTAGCAAAAGCTCTAGGGAGGACAAAAAGGGTCAGAACATGTGCAGTTCAGCCGGGTTATTTCAGAGCGCTGTTTCTGTTCTTCTGTCTTATCATATCCATGTCAGCTCTGCAAGCTGTGGAATGAATTTAAAGCTGCTAAGCCCAGACAGATGTGATTCAATGGAGCAAGCTGATGACCATAAAGCAAGCTGGGCTTTCCTCTAATCCCTGGGAACTTTCCCTTCTTAAAAGCCCTTTTGTATGGTCATGCCTAGCAACCTAGGTGATGCTTAACGCCGTAGTGCCATAAGCTTAGCAAAGTATTATTTAAATGTAATAATTTATGCATTTATGATTTGATATTATTAGTCATTGGAAGAATATCCCAGTTTGGTTATTTATTTATTTATTTATTTATTTATTTATTTATTTATTTGCTGAGTAGAATTTTTTTACCCCCTTCTGGTTCTGCTCCCAACTTTTATATAAAGTTCTATTAAGAAATAACAAAGTATCTGTATGTTTAACTTGTATGTGCCCACATGCATATATAAGCCCACAGTATAGAGTTAATGTAGGAATAATTCCTGAATGAATTCCTCCCTCCAAATAAATTATCACCCTGTGTATTTAGGCTGCTGGGTTAATATACATACCTAATTCAGTGCTATTTAATAATCTAAATGTACTGATTTATGTGAGTATTTGAATTTAGACAAAGCTTTGCATGTATATGTAGCCTAGCCCTTTTCCTTACCCACTGATAAATCTTTTAACATATCGCCTTCTGTTTAAACACATTAGTATTTAGTAGTAGTATTTGTGTTGGGGGGGACAACAAAGACTAGGAGGTGGGGGTGTTGTCATCAGACAGGAAGTGACAGCAGAAGGGCTGGGTTGTGGGGGTGGTCACCACTTCCTGTGTCTCTGTCTGCATTTCAGTGAGAAATAGGGGGCTGCCTGGTTGTTGGGATTTCTTTAGTTTTTTAAAGCCTAGAGAAGACACTAAAAATAAGGAAGGAAAAAAGTTAAAGTAAATGAAATCACCTATTCTGTTATTTAAAAACAGACAAAACAGAAATACAGTAGTATAGACTAGGAAGTCATGTATGTCTTTAAAAACACCCAGAAAGGAACTCACTTTTGTAGACAGTCATTTATTTGAAGGCAGCCTGTTGTCTAAGGTGACTGTTCTGGACCGTAGGTTTGACTGAAGCTGCTCTTACCTGCCTTTCTGGGTCTGGATTTGGGCCCCACTGTTCCATTTTAAAAGAGGAAGGACGAAGTAGAGGAGAAAATGGGAGTGGAAGTATGATAAAACATTCTAACATACAAAATCATAATTTTTTTTGTCGAGTGTATTGCCTCCTGAAAAAAATATAGTAACAACATTTATTGTATGAAACTGAAATTTAGTGTTAAAATATTTAAACATTAGGTAAGTGAGAACTATAAAACATCCTTTATGCTTTAGTCAACATTCTGTTCCATTCCAGGAGGAAGTTCACTGTGTATGTTGATGGTAGCATATTTAATTTTTCAGTATCTATGTCACAAACATTTTTTCTATTTCTCTGGTTCACTGAAAATAATATATATCAGTGAAATTTTAATATTTAATAAGCATGGAGAAAACTCTCAGATTGACATTTTTTGCCATCTTGTGCCTTGAGTACTCCTTATAAGCCTTCTTTTATAATTACTTTGTTTAGAAACGACAGCATTTTTGTCCTACTAAATATACCCTTGCTCCATTATTTCTGTGTTTTCAAGTAATTTTTCTTCGGAGGCTAAAGTATTGTGTATGAGTTAACTGAAAGTTTTATGACAGTATGTCATTAGCTATCATTATCTTTTTCCATTTCTTTAAAGTGGAAAATTCATAGACACTTGAAAAACAATTTGAATATAAAAGCCCGTTGAGCATTTTATTATTTTTTCCATCATAATTTTTCATGGAGTGTAGTGTATCTTTAAGGTGATTCTCTTTTGAGTCTTCTTGAAATACTCTAAACTAGATAGCTGTGGTACATGCATGTTTAATCCCAGTACTTGGGAGGCAAAGGCAAGCAGATCCCTGTGAATTAATCACCTGCCTGGTCTATATAGTCTACACAGTGAGCTATAGCCAGCCGAAGCTACATAATCAGATCCTGTATCAAAAAAATAAAAATAAAAAAATAAGTAAAACAAATGAACAAAAAAAAAGAAAAAAGAAAGAATGAATGAACGAACAAACAAATACTCTACATTCAGGGCATTCAAAAATAGAGGATTGAAAGATTTTTATCTACTTCTGTAAAGAAGGCCATCTCACCCAAGAGTTGGAGTCCATTCTTTTGTTTTCCTTGCTTTTGGACTGTTGTATTTAGTATATTTACATAGAGTATCTTTCAGTAGCTCCTACCCCGACTAATGTAGACTGAGAATCGAAGTAGAGCCTGGACTTGCTGGGGTGCTCTGCTGCCTCCCAGTCATCCCTTAATGTGACTAGTAAAGGCGGCCAATGTATAAAAGAACAAACTGATGACACTGTTGATTTTTGCCTTCTCATTGGAAAAATGGTAAAAATACTCTTTACCATGATTCTTTAGAAAGTTATCAGTGCTTACTCCATTACCACAGAAAATTCTAATTTCTCAGAGGCAGAGAAATTAAGGCTGTGTCTTAAGTGTCCACAGCATGATAAACACATCTTAGTGCAGCACAAGCCAGTCAAGAAAATATCTGTTCGGTGAAATATGTGATGTGTCTCATCTCTGTGAATGAAAGCATGTCTCTAAACCAGCTGGAGTAATCCTGTAAAAATAAAGCAAGAAATGTTCCTATGGTTTTCTCTTTTGCCTGATAACTCTTTTAATTAAGAAGTTAAACAAATATCTGTTTTGCCCTTAAGTAACTATCATAGAAAGGTAGACCATCTGTCAACATGTGTAGGTTATGCCCATTAATCTCATTTTATCCCTTAAAGGAGGAAATTTTACATCTAAGCGAAATAATAAGATGTATCAGGCAAAAAAAAAAAAAAAATGTTACACAGCTTAAAGTATTTGCCTTGCTCCCAAACTCATTAATAGGGATAGCTGGAAATTTTTAATATATTGGCCTGTATCATGCTTCATGATTATAAAATCAGAAGAAATAATGAATTAGTGTGGGGTCATTTGCTTGTGCGTCACTGTGACTGGGTGAAAAGAGTCATATGATAACATAGTTGATTATCTCTCACCCAGAAGCAGAGTACATCTCCTCATACAGTATATGCTTTCTGAGTCTTCCACAAGGACCAGAAGACCCAAGTTATGCTGAATTCTCAAAAAAACCATGAACAGATAGGTTCTGTTCTGAATGAAGGATGAAATACCACAAAAAGGGTTCAGGGGTAGTCTCACTTAGCTCTAGTTTTAGGGCATAAACAGAGGAGTGCTCCCCTCCAACTATCAGCCTGTGACTAGAAGCTGCTGAATTTACCAGCCTTTACCTCTCCTCAGTCAAAATGCCTCCACTTTCTTCTTTGTCTACCCATCTGACCTCTAGGGAATCCAGCACTTCCACATCAAATTCCAACCTCCCTGGTTTGCTTTTAATTGCCCCTAAAGTCCTCACACAGCTGAATACTTAGTAGGACTCATTCGCTTGGAATTGACCAAGTTCTTGCAAGTGTGAACAAGGAAAGAAAGGACACATGGCTTTTAACGTTAGTTAGATGGAAAGTATGCAGACAGTAAAAACGTTACCTTCTTATTAGTTTGAACTGTTTCATGTATGTTATTTAATTGGCTCTTCTCGGTTACCTTAGATGTAGATTGTGCAAACATCATTTTTCTGGTTTAGTTGGTAACCATCAAGAGGTAGGCTCTCAGCCAGGTCTTTAGAACTCAGCAATTCTTCCACTGCAGATTCTTGATGCAAATGTGCTTCTCAGAATCTTTTCAGGGTCTCTATTAGGTGGCTTTTAGGCCTTCGACTTCACTTAGCTAGAGAAACTAATTTAGGTTTTTTTAATTAATGTAATCATTACCACATGATACTGGCTTAATGAGCTTGCAATTCCATGTCAAATGATCTGTTAGATCGATCATAATAGCCAGGGTGTTTTCCACACAGACTGAACCCATCACTGTATACATAAATGAAAATTGACTCGCTGTATACAGTGTCCATATGCTGTGGGTACTGAACTGGGTGCACTCATTAACTGAATTTGCAAAATGTATTTTATTCATTGTTCATAGTGATCCGATTCTTTCTTTCTTCATTAAAACAGCTAAATATTATTTTCCTGGTGATCACGCTGTGCAAAATGGTGAAACATTCAAACACTTTGAAACCAGATTCTAGCAGGTTGGAAAACATTAAGTAAGTATTTTGTATTTGAACTGTTATACTTGACGAGCTCAGTAAAAGATATTCTCCACAGGGAACACAGGCGTTTCTGCCTTCTGGCAGCTGTAGAAGGGATTCTGAATGAAATTTTACTGATCGAGGTTGAATTTCCATTACCATGTTGCGGGCATTGGTCAAGAAGTAGATAATTTCTGACTTGATCTAGAGTGGAGAAATTGTTTCTGTGGCTTCATGGAAATTTCATAGCACTATAGTGATTTCATTTGAATTTAAAATGCAATTCCAAATGATGGTCCTGTTTGCATGGCTGATATGATTATATTAAGTTTGTTTTGTTAAATGACTTTTTGATTTAAGGATTCTGAGCAGTTTCTCCTCCTAATCCTGTTTTCCTAAGAGAATGTACTCTATTACTATTGTTATCTTGAAGATTATCTGTTGTTCTCATGCTAATTAAACAAGTGTTTACTTTATCTCAATGCTGAATAAAATCTGCACTATTCTATTAGTGAAAATGCTATCTAATTAACCCAAAATTGATAGCTGTTGATTCATTAAATCAGCTATGGAAGCATTTTCAGACTTATTTTTAAAATGCGAGTCTTAATGTAGAATTCAAGGAGTTATTAAAGTTGGATATGCCAGGATTGTGAAAATAATATTTTTAATGTTAAAAATGGCAGATTATAGTAAGGGTAATATTTTTTTAATTAGATGTTTTAAATAGGTTAGTGCCAGCTTCATTGCATGTTGCATGGTAAGAGAGAGAGCTAATCGCTAGCGTCTCTCTCTTTTCTTCCCTTTCCTCTCTCTGTCTTCTCACCTACACCAGTAATTACCGTGTTTGTGATGGCTACTATAATACGGACTTACCTGGGTAAGGTAGAACCCTACATTAACGAACTTATAGCATGATTTATATTTTTTTGCAAATCCGTCAGTATCATGAATTGCTCTTAATTTTTATAGTTATTTTGGAGTATCTACTTTGCTGTAGTATCCTTAAACTATGATATGCCTTTATTTTTTTAATTGCTTGCCTCTGCATTTTGACTTTCTTAATTTTGACTAATTTATAAAATATATAAATGATTTCTTATTACTTTCTATTTTAATTCTGCCTAATAATTTTGTTTCTCTTTTCTGCTTATAATGCTTTCTAGCTATGAAGATAATAAGCCATTTATCAAGTAAGATCATTAGTTAGACATGGAATGCACTGACTCTAAACCCTTCTCATTCCGCCCCGTTTCCTGCAGTTCTTTTCTCCTTAAGCTTTTCATGATGAAATCTCTGCCAGAATATTTTATTTTCAACTTGTTCTTGTGTTTTGTTTGGTTTGGTTTTTAACTCATTTCAGCTAGGCTTCTTCATACTTTCATTGTAATTTCGTAGGCTCGCCTCAGTCTAGTTTATTAGACTCTGAAGTTTAGGCTCTCTGTGATTATCTGCCATTTAACCTTTCTGTGTGTGTCACATTATCTAGTATCGTATGAGTACACCACAGGAATAAAAATATAGGAGTAAACTAATTAAGGACTCCTTAATTTCTTTCACTAAAATTCACACGAAAGACAATAAAGCCACGGGGGATATTTTACACCTTGCATTTTAATATAGTTTTGATGCCTGTTCATTCTGGAGCGAGAAAAGGCCATACCCGCTGTTGCTGTACTCACTGGAGGCTGCAGTACTAAATGTTGTTCTTTCTTAATCAATGGAAGGTTAAAGCCAAAATGCTGTTGAATTTGAGTGAACATAGAGCAAGTCAACCTCTACTACTGAGTCGTTACTAAATGAGATAAATGTTGCTCCCCTCCTTGAACCTGTTAAAAAAGAAATCCACTTTATTTTTTCAGGTCTTGGGTGCTTGGCGCGTTTGCCCTACTGTGTCTCCTGGGCCTCACCTGGTCCTTTGGGTTTCTTTTTGTTAATGAGGAGACTGTTGTGATGGCATATCTCTTCACCACCTTTAATGCTTTCCAGGGACTGTTCATTTTCATCTTCCACTGTGCTCTTCAAAAGAAAGTAAGTGAAGGACACCTGGGGAGAGCCTTCGTTCACTTGGCCTTTGACTTGAGAATGGGGCTAGAGAAGATTTCTCCTGACAGCTGGCTTGTTCAGAAACAGTGTCATATTGTAATTTTCTTTAATACCTGTCTGGAAATGTAAGCGCCCATGCCGAGTTGCATAGCACCAGCCACCTTCTGAATCTCAGTTTGGGACAACAGCAAGCTAGATGCTTGTGCAAGAGCCCCTTCTTTGGTGGGAGAGTTTGTGAAATATCTATGTACAGTTACAAGCTTAGGAAAAATACAAGGTTAAATTTAGTCTTAGCTCACTCATAGGAATACACTAGTCCAAAATGAAAATGAATCCAAGGACAAATAGCATTAATTTTTAAAGCTCCAGACATGCAAAAGATTAATATTAATGTTACCTTGTGAGTGATTTTGAAAGATCTAAAACAACTGTCATTTAGTGTTTTACCTCTGATTATTTTGTCCTGATTTCATGTATGTGGAATAGAGTCAGCAAAAATAAATTTGAAAATGAAAGTTGAAGATGAAAACCTTGAATCTGTAGCCAAGGAACCAAGAAAACAACTTAGCTGCCGTTTAAGTTTAGAATTTATGTGCCTTTCACAAGGAATCACCCTTCCCTGCCTGCATGTCTAATGTAGTCTTTGATTCTGTTATTTCTAGCTGGTCACTAAATTGAACAGAGAAAGAGAATTGTGAAAGTGAAAACTATTAAGTTTTCAGCCCTGACAAGATGATAGTGTTGTTGCTTCCATCGGCTTTGAATAAGCTGTAATTTTGAGATAATGACAGTGGAACGTGAAATACTGACAGATAATGTACAGTCACAGCAATATAGGCATTAGGCAAAACCAACACCAGAGGGTGTTATTTGGATAAAATACCATTTTTGATTGCCATTGTCTTGGTTATACAGCTTTTCAGAGCTACTAATGACTGTTACATGTGTAGAATTTTCCCTAAGATAGCTTGTGTTTTAATAACAACGTACTTTAACATTTTAAACATTGTACAGGGATGTCCTTGGTAACCACTGCCACTTCTCTGTGTGTCTTGTGTAAGTGAGCATCCTGCATCAAGCATATGGTCACATCTTGATCATTTCTCAGAGGTCATGTCCACCAGCTTTGACAGCAGAAGGTTTAGGAGACTGCTTCTTCAGAAAGCTGTGTGTATTCCTTGAGCATGGAATTTCCACTGGCTTCTTACATTAACAGCTACATTTTAAAAGCATCGTACATCCTACCTTCTGAATATGTTCTACTCAGTCTTCCATGTCTCTTCATGGGAGTTGCCATGATAGATTGTTAAGAATATAACATAAGATGGTTAAGTTGAAAAACTAAAATGAAAGCTTCATTTTTAATGCTTGAATGAGCCCAGTTGGGCCCAAGAAGTGCTTTGAAAGCACAATGCCGTTCATGTTTGTTCTAATATGTGACACTTAATAAAACAGAGAAGATGACAGTGCAGGTATGCTTGGCTTAGAAGGTCTTCTTGTGACATTAATTATCTAATTTTGGAAGGAGTGTCAGTTGGGGCCTTTGTAGGCAGGTAACAGAAATATGAGATGGGAATGGTCTCAAGTATTGTATAATCTACTGGGAAAGATTTTCTTTGTCTGCAGTTCTTTTCTCGTCTATTTTAATTTAAAAGTCTAGCTTTAATGTACAAAGGCCATGTTTATACACCAGTGTAGCTATAGACCAGCTAGCAGCCCCTTCCCACACCTGCCACTCCCCCCACTTCTATATACTCAGTGTTCATGAGGGGCCGATTTCAGTTGCTTGGATTTCACGTTTTAAAGGTTAAGCCAAACTTTCTTTTAGGCTGGTATTTTTGTGTCTACCATATACCTCGACTTCAGGGAATAAAGGAAATTGCATGGATAACTCATTAATGTGAATAGAAACTACATAAATAGTGCTATTGTGTGCTAATGGAGTGAACCAACACCTTAGACTCCACAGGTGCCAAAGTAGACATAGCAAAAAAATCAGGGAAAATATTCCCTCCTTAGTACAGGCAAATGCACGAAAGTGCTTTTCATTCGGTTTGTTTTCGTGCCAAAGATGCCTTGTTTGTGCAATCCGGAGGTTTATGTATTGACTACCTAGGAAGGCTAAGCTTATAAAAGGTCAGTCAGTGATGGACTTCCAAATTGATCATGTACAACCAAGCATCAAAGATGCTAATTTCTCTGTCTAATTATTTTGCCAAGAGATAGTTACTAAGTACTTGGAAGAAACCTTTACTATATCACTTTGTATTAATAACCAGAATACGCACAATAGTAGCAAACTCCAAAGCATCTCTAGTGAAATAGTAAAGCCACCACCAGCCAGCCTGCGGACAAACAGGTTACTTAGTGACTAATATTTCCACAACTTACGTTGCACTTGAGTCAAGTTCAACCTGTTTTCTCTTTAGAAGTTTAATTTTCCCCCGTTGTCTTCACTGGTCATTTAGCTGGAGAGAACAGGAGAAACCAGTGTGCCCGCACTAATCCCCTGGTCTTGGATTTCTTCAATCCAGGTACGAAAAGAATATGGCAAGTGCTTCAGACACTGGTACTGCTGTGGTGGCCTCCCGACCGAGAGCCCCCACAGCTCTGTGAAGGCGTCAACCACCCGCACCAGTGCGCGCTACTCCTCTGGCACACAGGTAACAAAGAGCTCGACAGCATCTTAATTAACCTTGTTTAGAGAAAGCCTGCGGAGACATGTTCTGTTTAAGATGCACTAATTGTCTCCTCCTTGTAGTGATCTAGGTAGTAAGGACTCACTCGTTATTTTGGATTTTGATTTCAGTTTCTTCTTAAATATGTACTCAACGTGTTGTGTAGATGTGAACATCCTTTTTGAGGAGTGCACTTTAAGAAGTTTGTCACAATTCATATTCTCAGGTCATCTAGAACAGTGCTTTTAGTAGGCATTCATCACATTCATTTAATAATTCTTTGTCTCCACTTTAAACCAGGCAATAAAACAACTCATAAGAGTGGGAGATTAAAGCTAGATGTGGTGATATGTGCCTGTAATCCAGGCCCTAGGGACATGGGGGCAGAAGATTCATGGCCGTCCCTGGCTACAGAGCTAGTTGAGGCCAGTCTGGGCTACACAAAACCTGCCTCAAGTAAATAAATAAACAAACAAACAAACCCACCCAAAGTGCGTTAGATTAAAGATTAAATAGTGCTTAGTAGGAACAAGGCAGTATTGGTGTCCTCGTCTTTGGACCAACAACAAAACACATTCTTAAAAAGCCCAGACAACTATACTAACGAGTTAAGTATACTAACTATACTAACGAGTTAAGATGATCAATGTGTTGATGAGGTAATGTGCTTCTCTTGCTGTCTCCTGTCAATAGAGTCGTATAAGGAGGATGTGGAATGACACCGTGAGGAAACAGTCTGAATCTTCTTTTATCTCAGGTGACATCAATAGCACTTCTACCCTTAACCAAGGTCAGTTATTAGGGGAATTGAGGGTACAGCGTACAGTTTGTGCTTTGTGTGAGCCTAGACTAACTGTAGAGAAGACGCTGGACTTACCTGTCGTGGGTTTAAATCACCAGTTATTAAACTTTGGGGGTCAACTTTTAACATCATTCATCAAAGTATGTATAGATTTCTATTATTTCCATAATATAATGGAAGAAAATATAATTTTAAACTCCATGATAACAGAACATGGGTGGAAAAATTAATTTTTGAAAACATACCTAGTTACAGATCAAAAGGTTTCACTTGTTAGTACATACCTGTCCTTTCTAAGACATCTGTGAAAGTCATCTTCCTCAGACTTTGCTAGAATTACAGTAGCTATTAGTGTAAAACAGCGCCAAATTCACATTGAAAATTTACATAATTTTCATCACGTTCCTAATTTCATATTTTTAAAGTAAATATTAAGTAGTAAAATATTTGTAGTAAATTAAAATGCATGGAAGCACATAAGCCAACTTCCCCCATACAGTTCCATGTGTTGTGTAAGTTTTGTAATAAAACTGAAATGTATTACAAAAAATTATTTTAGTTCCTAAACGATAAAGGTCAGAAATGTAGGAGCTTAGCAAGATTAAGGCATAAACACAAAGCCACAGGTACTTCCAAATAAAAGCTTTAGTATATTTCAGTCAAGCATGGAAAATTTGTGGTGTTGTACCAGTCCGTGGAAAGACGCTTTCAGTTTTGATTTAATGATTTATGCTATGTACAACTGTCATGACATAGTTCGGCTGTGAAATGAGAAGGGTGTCTGTGTGACATCCATAGCAGCCTGAATTTTAACCTCATTTTAGTCAAATTTCATGAGTGGTGGGAAACATGATTGATAAGTAGAGGTTTGTGCTTTAGCAGAGTGAGTGACGCCCCTGCCTCAGCATGGCCCCGGTGTTGCCCTAAGTCTGTTGACATGGTTGTCACATAGGAAAGTTACTCACAGACTCCCTTCTGAAACCTGGCAGATGAGATTGCAGAACCAACGCTCCCGTCCTGGTCTAATCATTCACCCACCCCCTCGCACCCCAGCATGCGTGCCTGTGCCTTTAATAAGTGCAGCTCCGCGGTTTGTCATTCTTCTTACATGTCTGTGGAAGCAGCTTCCCCCCTGCTTGTGTGGAAGTCAGTATCAACACAGATGTTTTCATGAGGGACGGTCCCACACCTGTAAGTCTGAAAGTTTGCGAGTCCCTCTGCTGGGCCGTGGTGGTTAGGGCTTTAATATTAAGCAGCAGCATCCTGAAGCATAATGTTGATCTCCATGCATTTAATTGCCATTTTTGTTTAACAGTGATTTTGTATAAATTAGTAAATGTCACTCTCAGCAGGTGTTTACTTGGGGGACTTAGAAAGCACCTGCGAATTCCTGGAACTGAACTCCCCCTCCCCTTTCCCCTTCAAATCACTAGTTCAAATAGAGGCAGGAACATTCCCGCAGACCTTCCGTTGCCAGCCTGCCCACTGCCCTGATGAATTCACTAAAACTACTGCAACTGTAACACTGAAATAAGCACACTGATGGACTCTTTTTCTGTTTCTTTGCTTTAGGAATGACTGGCAATTACCTACTAACAAACCCTCTTCTTCGACCCCACGGCACTAACAACCCCTATAACACATTGCTCGCTGAAACAGTTGTATGTAATGCCCCTTCAGCTCCTGTGTTTAACTCACCAGGTGTGCTTATCCTTACGAATAAAACTACCTTTCTTTGCTGCTAAACAGAGCTCTGATCCTATTTCTAAAATTACTCGGTGCTATATATTTATTATTCTTACATCTGTAGTTTCTCAAATTAAAAAGTAAGGTATTGCCCGTGCCAGGCTTCTAAAACTGCACTATATTATAGTAAGAGTTCAGTCGTGATAGATTTGCAGTAATTATCCATGTTTTTGACACAGGTGGCATAAATCTTAATATATTATTACAGGACTGACATCACATGGTCCGAGAGCCCATCTTCAAGATTTATATCATTTAGAGGTATCCTATCTATATAATATATTGTTCAGTTGACTCTAAACCTTGGTGACAAATTTTGCTTCTGGAATGAACTAGCTAAAGATAATTTGGATGTCCAGGTGTAGAGAACTACATCCAGCATTATCAATATAATCAAGCTATAGTATAGTGCAGCTTTATGTAGTTTTCCTTTTTTTGTAAGGAACTTTGGGGATACAGGGGTGATTAAGTCAGTCTGTGCCCATGGCTTTTAATTGAGGGAGGGGGAGGTTTTCACTGACCTATCCTGTTGACTATATTTACTAGCTTATTAAAAACATATTCAATAGTATTTTTTAAGCTTTTGGTAAATTTTAACATATGGTTAAAACTAGCATATAATACTTGTGAATAACAATTTCAATTAAATTAAACAGAGAATTTTGTTCCAGTTTGTCTGTTGTTTTTGTTCTTCTTGCGATTCCTTTTTAACGTAACTGCAGCTTCTCTTTTCATTCTCTTGTTCTCTTACTTTCCTTATGCTCTCCTCTAGCAACCTACAGAGAGACAAGTATGGGAGTCAAACTTAACTTTGCCTATCAAATGTAAATTTTTTCAGCATGATTTTTAACGGGCACAATTAAAACATACCTAGCAGTCATGAAGTAGACTCAGCGGGCAAGTGGTTCACAATTTGCAACTAAAATGTTACCAAATTCCAACAGTGCATCTCTGTATACTGGCTTTCATTAGTCCTAGAGGTCTGTAGCAAATGCTGTCCACACTGAAGTCTGTGCAATGCTGAAATAATTTGCTCTCGAAAGCCTGAAGTACTGTCAGCCAAAATGCTTAATAATTGACTTATCATTTCTGCATTCCCACAGTAATCTTGCTACAGGCTATGCAAAAAGTCTTCAAGTGAATTACCTGAACATGGGCAGAAAAAGATGCCTCTTCAAAACCAGAGAGGTCTTAAATCTGCAGTATATCATAGAAAACACCTTTTGAATTATACCCAGCATATATTATTTTATACTTAGGAAGCAATGATAAAAAGGAAAGAAAGTGAGAAGATTGAATCTCATTGCAGAGGAAACAGACGCTAGTGTCCTTGCCATGTGACAACTTTAAAGTGCCCAGTGTTTTCTAACAATAATCGAAGGCAGGAGTGGCACATAGGCACTTACTTGAGGGACCCTAATCAAGGAAGCAAAAGAAAGCCTTATAGATAACAATCACAACTTCATTTTCTTAGCACACGGAGTGTGACACAAATGGAATTGACAGTTTTTGTAATGAAGAAATGATTTCATTCTTTGTAAAAGAAGGAATGACAGACACAAGCCCTCCTTTCAGTATCCTCACATGGGCTAATGCTGACTCCTCCATCGGCTGTCAGTTGTTGGTCATGAAGTTTGTATGATGCAGAGACTTTTCTCTTTGAAGAACAATGAGTTTTCTAAGATATCTGCAGCTTTAAGAGTGGAGTGAGCATAATAAAGAGAGCATTTCTCCTCTTTTTCCAAAAATGAAAGCTTTCCTGACCTTCTCCAAGCCTTGCATACGATGCAGCAGCCTCACAGTGGCCAGTTTCATTTCAGTAACATCATGCCATTCTTTTGTTGATTTTTTTTTTTTAATTTTCTTTTCAGACCTCTCTGTAGACTGGTGATTATTCCCCCCACCCATCCCGTTTAGGATTTTGAGGTTGAAGATCCTAATTTCCCATCGTGCAGACCATTTAATTTTCTCTGACTTTTCCCATTTGCTTGACAATCACTGTGATGTCTTAGTTTACATGTTTATGTGTCTGTTGGAAATATAATTCTGATTCAAGTACAGCATGTTCCCATTGTTTTCTTTCCTCTTGAATCTCTTTTCATATCACAAGCAGATTTATCCAATCTCTCATTCTTTTAGGAATAAAAAAAAATATCTATTAGCTAAGATTGACACCTTCTCCCATTCCATAGTTAATATCTATTCTTGGTTTGATTTCTGTGACCCATACTTAGGAAATCGCTAACATTTCTGCATTTGACCTCCATACCCATGGTGTCTTTGGGCCAGTCTCGTACAGTAGTCTCTGCTGGTTCATTTGGTACTGTCACTGTGACTGATGCAGTCTGCAGGGCTGCAGGCCAACTCGGACCTTCTGAAGCCTAAGGCCATTGTCATTAGACATATTAAGTGGCAAACACAACTCAAAATAACAAGAAGTACTCAATGAAAAGTCGAGGCTGCTTTGCTGGGAATCTAATTTGTTGAACCCTTGCTCTGACTAAGTTGCTGAGAAGCTTAGAAATTCTTCATCATGTTACAATAAATCATTTTACTTTCTTTTATATATCAGCTACTCTTAGGCCAGATAGCCTGAGCAGACAGACATAATGTGAGTTGTCCAGAGTGAGTCTTTCCACCTGCTGTCTGTCGTGGTGTTGGATGGTGCTTGTGGACCCTGGTCCTGTCAGTGTGAGAGATGCCTGACTCTGTTCAACATGAATTCTTTGTATCTGTCCATTTTTTCATTCCTTTTTGTTGTTGTTGTTGTTTTGTTTCATTTAATTTCATCTCCAGAAAAAGGAAATGTTAGACCGTTGTTTAAAAGTTGCTTGCCAGTTATGTGGGCTTTTGTTGTACATTGCCTTTTTGGTTTCTGTATGTGACTTATTCCTTTTAATTTAGTGTTGTTTAGGACAAATTCTGTTGATTTTATTTTATGAACCATGGTCTTGTACTTTAAAATGTAAACGTCACTAATGAATTGCTTTGCATTAACTATGCAAGGGCATGGAGTGAAGTCTTGTTTGTAAACGTGTCGAAATTGGACCAAAACCTGATTGATGAACTACTGTGTCCCCCAAATTGATCAAGTAATATTACGGATGCCATTTTCCCTCCCTGGAAAACAGTATTATTTTTTTTTGACACTTCTTCCTGTCATCTAAGGGTTGCAACTGTTTACCGTTGGGAATGCGGGAAGGCCTGGCACTTTTCAAGTGTTAGGTTTCAAATTCAACTTTGTCCTGAACGACATTAAAACGTTTTGTATATGACAAGTGCAGTTTCTTTAGGAAGGCCCGGAGGCAGTAATGGTAACCGCACACTTTTCTGTTGCAGGACATTCACTGAACAATGCCAGGGACACAAGTGCCATGGATACTCTACCGCTAAATGGTAACTTCAACAACAGCTACTCACTGCGCAAGGGGGACTACCACGACGGGGTGCAGGTCGTGGACTGTGGACTAAGTCTGAATGACACGGCGTTTGAGAAAATGATCATTTCAGAGTTAGTGCATAACAACCTGCGGGGTGGCAGCAAAGCCCACAACCTGGAGCTCAAGCTCCCCGTGAAACCCGTGATCGGTGGCAGCAGCAGCGAAGATGACGCGATTGTGGCTGACGCCTCATCTTTGATGCATGGTGACAACCCAGCGCTGGAGTTCCGCCACAAAGAACTGGAGGCACCGCTCATCCCGCAGCGGACTCACTCGCTCCTGTACCAACCCCAGAAAAAAGTGAAGCCAGAGGCAACCGACAGCTACGTCTCCCAGCTGACGGCCGAGGCCGACGACCACCTCCAGTCCCCCAACAGAGACTCTCTGTACACGAGCATGCCCAACCTAAGAGACTCTCCCTACCCGGAGAGCAGCCCCGACATGGCAGAGGACCTGTCTCCCTCCAGGAGGAGTGAGAACGAGGACATTTACTATAAAAGCATGCCAAATCTTGGAGCTGGCCGCCAGCTCCAGATGTGCTACCAGATCAGCAGAGGCAATAGTGATGGTTACATCATCCCCATTAACAAAGAAGGGTGCATCCCGGAGGGGGACGTCAGGGAAGGACAGATGCAGCTGGTAACGAGTCTTTAATAGTCCAGCCATACCTAGGGCCACACGCAAGTATTAATTGATAAAGACTCTGCCAGCCGGCCCTGCAGCTCCCTCCAACTCTGTCCGAAAAGTCGGCTCTGATGACCCGTGGTTCTCCACTGTAGGAAAACAAAATAGACTGAACCTCGTAGTTCTGTGAATTTTTATAAACCGTAAGAAAACTTTGTATATACACAGAGTATACTAAATTGAATTATTTGTTACAAAGAAAAAGAGATGCCAACCAGGTATTTTACGTTTCTGCTGCTGTGTAGAGAGATTGTGAAACCAACAAGAGACCCTTCCGGCCATGTCACTTGCGGCAGTTGGTGAACTAAGTCTGTAAATAGGGCCAGCACCGTTTTTTTAGGCCTGCATTGTATTATATACAAGACGTAGGCTGTAAGATCCTGTGGGACAAATCGACTGTATCTTACTTTTCCTGACAAGACTTGGAAAAGCAGGAGAGAGATTCTGCACCCGTTTGCACTTCCTGCAAACCTTTTACATTAAGGCAACAATTGAAAACATGTTTAACCAGTAGCAATCAAGCCACAGGCCTTATTTCATGTTTCCTCAACTGTACAATGAACTATTCTCATGAAAAAAAAAAAAGAAATGGCTAAAGAAATTATATTTTGTTCTATTGCTAGGGTAAAATAAATACATTTGTGTCCAACTAAGATATAATTGTCATTAAAATAATTTTAAAAGAGTTTGGAGAAAATGTTGTGACGAGCTCTTGGTTGCACACTAGGAAATGTGTTTTCTTACTCCCGTCACGGTAAGTTCTACCCCGTTTTGCTTCCTCTCCACCATAGACAGTGTTCCGCTCTGACCGGTTAGTCCTTTTCCTACATTGAAATTCCTTATTGCCAAAAGAGTGTGTGCTATGGGGAGAAAAGTCCTTGAAGTCGGTCCTGCCATGCCTTGCACAAATGTGGGGAAATCTGGAGGTCTTGGGTCATCCCTCTGTTTATTCTTGAACAGAGGGCAACGGGGGCACTGGGCACTTCTCACAAGCTTTCTAGTGAACAAAAGGTGCCTATTCTTTTTTAAAAAATAAAAAATAAAATAAAACAGAAATATTACTCTTCCATATTCCTTCTGCCTATATTTAGTAATTAATTTATTTTATGGTAAAGTTCTAATGACATGTAAATTGTTTCAGCCAAGCTCTGCTCTTCTTTCAAGCCCTTTGTGTAAACCTGTTAATAATGAGCCCATCACTAATATCCAGTGTAAAATTTAACACGGTTTGACAGTAAATAAATGTGAATTTTTTCAAGTAGCAATGTGCACTTTTATGTATGTTAAGCAGTAGGCGCGACCAAAGCGGTCCTTCCCAGTACCATCCCACCTTCCCCTCAGGAAATCTCAGGCTGTAATCCACAGTGACGTGAAAGAATGCGGCAAGGTAGCCTGCTTATCATTTGCAGTGGAGAGAATAGACTCATATTATAGTTATCTCTCATTATGACACAAAATCTGCAAAATGAGTTGCAGTAGGAACTAAAATTCTATAAAATAAATGAAGAATTATAATTCTACCATTAAATTTGGGCAGAAAACCACACCTGATTTTTTTTTTCCTTCAGTGGATTTCTCAGTTGCATGTAGAGGAGAAGATCTGAAACACACATTCCCAGTTTCCAGACCACGAAGAATAGGCTGCTCTGGGTGGCAAGGTCTGTTAGGAAGGAAAATTCTTACTCTGAGTGCACACTTCTCTACAGATAGATCTTTCTGGTCTGTGCAGTAGCCATCCACTAAACTCTACCTCACATGCTTCTCAGTCAGACAATGTTGGACACAATTAGATGTGACTGGAATTTTCAAAGGGTAATAATTTCTTTACTTTAAAATATTTATTAGATTTGTTTATTTTTATTTTATGTGCGTGTTTTATCTGCATGTGTGTCTGTACCACATGCATGCCCAATGCCCTCAGAGGCCACAGAAGAATCTCAGATCCCCTGGAACTGTTGTTATAGGCAGATGTAGGTGCTGGGAACTGAACCAGTGTCCTCTGTAAGAATATCTCAACTTCTGTGCCATCTCTCCAGCCTCGGGAGAAATAATTTAAAGTTTGTGTTCACATATCTCCTGGAGGGCAGAGCAAATCCTAAATAATACTTGAAGAGGAGCCGTGCAGACGTTTATCAGTAACCAAGTGGAAACTGACTCCTTAAAAAGCTCAGCATCCAGGTTTCACAGTCTTCTGAGAAAGAGCTCCTATAATTGATAGGCTAAAGGCCCAGAGTTTGTCAAACTCCTTTCTGGAAGAAGATGTCATAGAAGCAGGAATTGTCATTTCAGCATTGTCGCCGTGTTTTTGTTTGTTTGTTTGTTTTTAGTCTTAACCTCTGAGGTATTGTAAGGTACGTACCTCTTTGTATACATTAGACAGTATCAGCCTGCTTTAGCCATGAATTTTTCAAACTAAAAAAGAAAAGGCTGTGCTGGCTGTTCAGTTAGCTCCATTTCTTTCTCTCCTGTCAGTTCTCAGAGCTCTGAAATGATGGGGACAAGTACTTGGGCTCTAAATGGTTAGTGATCTCTCTGCAAAAATCATTTTTTTACTAGTCTTTACCCTCAAGCAATACAATTTGGAAATCCATTCATCTTTGCTGCCAAAATAACAATTGTTTTTTAAACAAACTAAAAGGAATGTGTATAGGCTGCTTTTAATCCAATATGGGATACCTCCCAGCACAAATTAATTCTTAAAGTTAAAATTATGAGTCTATTGGCAATCTTTGTGAGTGTGTATGTGGGTGAACTTGTCTATTTGGGCACAAGTGTCTATCAGAATTTAACTTCAAGGCATCTTCCTCAATTTCTTCACCCTGTTTTTGAGAGTCTCTCCCTGAACCTGGAGCACACCACTTTGGAGAGTCTGGCTAGCCAGAGTTAACAGGATCTTCCTGTCTCTGTCTCCAGCACAGTGGTTATAGGCACATGCCACTATCTGCTAGCTTCCAAATTCGGGTCCTCACGCTTGTGCATCAGTCATTTTATCCACTGAGACATGGCTTTAGTCCCTGACTTTTTAAATTTGATTTATCTCTTAACTTCTGATGGATTTATTATTTGTCTACTTGCTTTGAGTCTGCCGAAACTACTCCTAGATCCACAGTTCTTACATGCCTGGTTCTTTATCTTGAGGAGCTTTTAAAGTTGCTTTGCCATTCCTCTACCTGGGACAACTCCCCTCTTTTTCTGGCAATAAGAATTCTGTTGTCCATTTATCTTACATATGCTTGATATAAGTTCATCTAGGGTTACCCTTTCTTTAAAAATAATAAAGAAAATCAAGTCTCCTGTTCTCTTTGCTAAAGTAGTTTATACATCTCTGTGTTCATGTTCATTTTGTATGCTTTTATAGTCAGTTATGTGGAAGCTGATACAAGTTAGTTAAATGAAATGCCAGTTCCAACTCATCTACATTCATTGGAGGTAGAATGGTAGCCAGTAAAAACAGGGATTGTTTGGCAGAAAATCATCATTGCGATCTCCCCCAAAAGACTAGAAATGGACAAATCCCCTACTTGTTCTCAAAAGAAAACCTCACATGCCCTTCTCCTGTGAGTAGATTCAGTTGAGTACAGCAGTGGATGATCTATGTTTTCCTCAATTCAAGCTTGAAACTCAGGCAACTGAATTTTACTCTGTTCATGGGGTGGGATGGGTCCAAATATTTGAGCTCTAAAATTTTTATTCATTAGACTCTTAAGTTAAAAAAAAAAAGACCAACAATAACAAAACAAAACCATGAAAGGATGCATCCCATTTGGATTTCTGAGCTGAAGCCAGCTTTTCTTCATGACCCTGAAGTTTTCTCCAAGGATGATGCTCCCCACCGCATTTCACAAAGGAAACAGTTCCAGATCATCCCCTTTCCTTCAATGACTTTCCTTCAAACTTCAGTAGGAAAAGTTACTGGCTTCAAATAAATAAATGAGAATTGCTTCCCAGCCAATATAATAAAATTAAGATGTTTTTGGTGAGACTGTCTACCAGGTGCTTCCTGCTCCTTGGTTTGGGACCTTAAAGAGTTTGAGCACAAAAGGTTAGGTGGCTGGGAATAGGCTGAGATACACCACGATGTTCTTCACTGTCTTTTTGAGTGGGAACTTTCTGTTGGGTCATAATTGAATCTCCTAAGGACCATAGAGACAAGGCTAGCTCAGACCACCACCAATTGGTAAGTGTGAATGTGAAGGCTGAGCATCCTTGAGCAACATTGTTTTGCACACATGACTTGTGCCTCCTTGCAAAGGCATTGAGCCTTAGCAGCTGGTAGTCACCCAAGTTCATCTGAAGGTACTGTGGTTACTGACCAGAGCTTGCAAGTCCAGAGGGGCATCTCTCTGTCAAAAACAAAAACAAACATTAACAACAACTTCGAAGTTCACAAGTAACTAGCTAGGCCAGTTAAATATGCTGTGAGTATTTTCCAATAATTCTCCTTCCATCTCAAAATAAGGCTTCTCTAGCATCCTCCTCCCTGTCCTGATGACATGCATGCTGTTTCTCAGAAGTCTTGACAGGCAGATTTAATTTTAAAAGCCTGTTGTTTCTAGGTGAGGTTTTTCTGAATAGGTTGTGAAATGTCATTATGTATACCGGTTTAGTGTTACTGGTGAGTGAGTGTTTGAAGTCAGAACTAATAAGTAGGGAATGTGGTGCAGGTGAGCTTACCATAATCTTCATTTGCTGGAGCAAACACACACACACAAACATGCATGCACACACATGCACAAATTCACATACACACACGCACTACTGAAGCTGAAGGACAAAGGTCTTGTGGAAATATTTAAAAGGCATAGTTATCCTTAAGCAAGCCAGAGCTGTGAGCCTAAGAGACCAATGATGAATGATCAATCTATGCAGTTTTCCACAAGCATTTTTAAATCATGAGTCAGAACTCGGCTTCTGAAAAGAGCATTTTAGCATTCCCAGCCACATGGCTTTCTCGTTTGACTTTATTAGGCAAAAAAAGACTGACTTTTTGCTGCTCTCATGAAAGGGCTGAAAACGACCGTGTAGAAGGAAAAGGAGCAATAATGACAGGTGTCAGAGGGCATTGATCAGAATAAAGAGTCATTGGTGGTTTTCTGATGAAGTATCAATCATAATAAATAGTTGGCTTTTTACACCCAAACATAGGGCTGGGTGACACTAAGTCATTTTAACCTGTAATGAGTAAGAGAGAGAAAAGAACGGCTGTCTAATTATTGAAAGATAGACTGAATCATTTTGTCGCATTCACTGTTTGCACATGGAAGCAGGAATACATTTGCCACATCTACCTTTTAATAGTTACTGAAAGAACGGGCAAGCTCCGTCCTAAACCCTGTGCTTTTTTTCACTCAATCCTCCCCACGGTCCTCTGAGGAGAGTTTTTACTTCCCACTTTTACAAAAAAGAAAAATAATGTTCTCAAGGCCACCCAGCTGACAAGTGGCAGTGGCCATGACAGATGTTCTCTGACTGTGTCTGAGCATTTGACCGACAGGAATTTGCTTGGAGTTCTAAGAAGATGCCTCAGCCAACCCCAGCACTGCATTGACATGACCTCTGCTTTCAGCCAGAGAGGGGTGTTTCTGTTGCTTAAGAATTTATCTATAGAGATGGAAAAGAAAATGAAGTGGAGATAGATTCTGAGGTACAAACTCCTTGTAAAGATAATCTATTCAGCTAAAAAAAAGGAACAAACAAAAAAACCCGCTTCCCAGAAGCACATCCATTAGCCATGTGGAAGTCCAATGTGATACTGACCATCTTGGTTCCTGGTCTATAACTTGGTTCCTGGTCCCTTTGTCTATAACTTAATCAGGAAGTTCACCAGGAAGAAGCTGTCATGGAAGAAAAATACCAACATTGATTCCCAGCATCCAATTTTTGGTCCTCACCTAACTAATAAAATAATACTGTTTAATCAGTTTGAAGTGGAGCCAACATTCACACACACACACACACACACACACACACACACACACACACACACAAACAAACAAACAAAAACTGAAATGTTGAAGATTTTATTTTTATTTCCCATACAACTAAGTGGAAAAATAAGCAAAGACCAAACAAACCAACAGCAAAAGCTGTGTTAAACACACACACACACACACACACACACACACACACACACACACACACACACACACACAGTAGCTCAGTTTCCTGTACTCTTTTAACATGTTATTTAAATTTTTCAAGTGTGTTTCAGCATTTGGGGTTTTCATATATTGTCATCTCTTTATCTTTTCATTGTCTGAA